TTCTGACCATTCAGATTAGAAAGTTCTCGAACTAAAATCTGCTTTTTGCAAACATGGTTCAAAAGGATGCATGCACCCCAATGTTCATTGCAGTGCTGTTTACAATAGCCAAGACATGGAAGCAATGTCCATCGACAGAGGAATGGATAAAGAAGATGTGGTACTTATATACAATGGAATATTACTCAGCCATTAAAAAGAATGAAATAATGCCATTTGTAGCAACATGGATGGATCTAGAGATTATCATAGTAAGTGAAGTAAGTCAGACACAGAAAGACAAATATCATATGATACAGCTTATATGTGGAATCTAAAAAAAAAAAAAGATACAAATGAAGCAAAAGGTGGGTAACAGAGCAGGGAGGAGGGTGGATCTGAAGAGGTGAGTGGAGAATAGGGCCTTTTTCCTGTCTGCACCCAATCCCTGAGAGAACCTTCCATTGAGTCCTTTGGCCTGTTCTGTCTCTCATCTTTGGTTGACAGTCCTAAAGCCACACCCGTTCCAGGAATCACATCACAAATAAATTACTCACACTCAAGTCTTTGTTATCAGGGTCTGTTTCTGGGAAAACCCAAACTAAGATATCCCCCGAAATCAAGATTTACTAAATCTACTATAATTAGTACAATGTGATGTTGATGCAAAGACAATCAATTAGAGAAATTAAACAGAAGGGAGTCCAGAAAAAGACACATTCATCCATGGACACTTGGTTTCTGACAAAGGAGGAAATACAGGGCAGTGGGAAAGGACACTCATTTCAGTGCATATTGCTGGGTCAAGAGAATATCCATGGGGAAAAGTGAAATTTGACCCCTATCTCACACACACACAAACATCAGTTCCAGGTGTCCCACACATTAAAAGTAAAATAATAAAACTTCTAGACAATATGACAGGAGTATCTTTATCACCTTGGGGTTTAGAAAGATTTCTTCAAGGCACACAAAAATCACTAACCTTGGGCTTCCCTGGTGGCGCAGTGGTTGAGAGTCCGCCTGCCGATGCAGGGGACACGGGTTCGTGCCCCGGTCCGGGAAGATCCCACATGCTGCGGAGCAGCTGGGCCCGTAAGCCATGGCCGCTGAGTCTGCGCGTCCAGAGCCTGTGCTCCGCAACGGGAGAGGCCACAACAGTGAGAGGCCCACGTACTGCAAAAAAAAAAAAAATCACTAACCTTAAAACAAGCTTCTCAACCTTGCACTATTGATATTTTGAACAGGATAAATTTTTGTTGTGGAGGAATGTCCCGTGCATTGTAGGCTGTTTAAAAGCATCCCTGGCCTCTACCCACTGATGCCAGTAGCACCACCACCAGTGCCCCAGTTATAACAACGAAAAATGTCTCCAGAACATTGCCAAACCTCCCCTGGGGGAAATGTTGCCATGTTTGGTGAGGGGGGACAGAACACACAGTTAGAATTGAATCTCAGATTCAACAACAACAACAACAAAAATAGTGTGTGTCCCAAAAATTTCCTGGGAAATAATTAAATTTTTTCATTGTTTATCTGATATTCAGATTTAACTAGCGGTCCTGTATTTTATCTGAAATTCACCCCCAGTTGAGAATTACTGTCTTAAAGGAAAAATGATTTGATAAATTGGATTACAAGAAGGACTTCTCATCAAAAGACATCTTTAAGAGAGTGAAAAGGCAAGCCACCCTGTGGAGGAAGATCCTTACAGCACATATGCCAACAAAGGGCTCATATGCAGAATTTATACATAATGCCTGTCAATCAATAAGAAAAAAAATAAGACAAACCTAAAGAAACACTGACAAGAGACTTGAACAGGAAATTCACAAAATAAGATATCCAAATGGCCAATAAACATATGAAAGGCACCCAACCTTATTAGTAATCAGGAAAATACAAATTTAAACTACAATGCAACTGGGACTTCCCTGGTGGGACAGTGGTTAAGAATCCGCCTGCCAATGCAGGGAACACGGGTTCGAGCCCTGGTCCGGGAAGATCCCACATGCCGCGGAGCAACTAAGCCCATGCGCCACAACTACTGAGCCTGCGCTCTGGAGCCCGTGAGCCACAGCTACTGAGCCCGCGCACCACAACTACTGAAGCCTGGGCGCCTAGGGCCCGTGCTCCACAACAAGAGAAGCCACCACAGAGAGAAGCCTGCGCACCGCAATGAAAAGTAGCCCCCGCTCACTTCAACTAGAGAAAGCCTGCGCACAGCAATGAAGACCCAACGCAGCCAAAAATAAAATAAATAAAAATTAATTAATTAATTTAAAGAAAAAAAAAGTCTATGGGTTCAAGTCCCATTCTAGGTTTTGGCCAGGTTCGAGTCCCAGCACGTGGGTTCAAGTCCCAATCTGAGTTGCTTGGTTTCACTTCTATCTCCACAAACTCTGGGGTCTAAGGAGACTATGTTAAAAAGGGGGACCAGAGGGGTCCTAGGCTCCTTTATCTGTTGGATCTCCATGTTAGGATCTTGGTTGATTGGTTGATTGGTTGGTTGGTCCTATCATACTTTATTAGAAACTATGTGAAATGATGATGTTAATAGCATTTAGCAAATTACATGCCAGAGCCGGAAAGAAGTTGTAAAAATCTGCCCAAGCAAAATGAAGCAGGGGGCATTCACACAGAGCTGGCATGGGGGAAGGTGCAGAGTTGCCAGCAAACCCCTCATCCTGCCCTGCCCCAGCCCACGCTGAGAGGAAGATCCCTCCCTGAGTCCTGGCTTCCTGTCCCGCCCCACAGTGATGGCCTGACCACCCAGAGACTGTGCTCAACTCCTTTTGCTGTTTCAGGAAGCAGCTGTGGGGGAAACTGTCCCATTTCAATGAAAGAAGTCCTTGTGATTGCTACAGACTCAGGAGGGACCCCTGTCTTCCTGAAGGGCACCAGCTGCACTTGCCCCTACACCCAGATGTGCAGACAGAAATTTCTCAGGTCTTGTTGTCTGGCTCGGATTTGAACGTTTTAACTGCCAAAGTGTCAGATGGACTCTGAGATCTGCAAACGGTTTAACTTAACTAGATCAGTTGTCAAAGGAGAGGCTGAGGAGGAGGGAGAAGCTGACCCACCCATCTCCAGAACCCCAGAGCAAAAAGACTCTAAGGCATTACAAACCTGCTCTCCATCAGCCCCCCAGGGGAGGAGGAGTGGTTGCTGGGATCAGAGCGCTGTCCCTATGTATGACCCCTCTTACAAGGGGCACAAAGCTCTGGAAGGGATTCCCACCTCACGTCCAAGAGGATACCGATGGACCGACCTCCCCCCTCCTGAATCTGTGGTCTAAAGGCATCTGATTTAGCAGACTCTCCTCCCCCTCTCCCCACAGCTCCCCACCCCCGCACTGTCCCAGGTATTGTCTCCTGTCAACCAGGCCTCTGGGTTACAGAGACTGACAAAGCACATGATAGCCTCAGTCCCAAAGCACACTTTGTTTTTGGTCTCTGGAGAGTTCTTTTATTTTCTAGCTAACTCGACAACGCATTTAAGTGAAGATGTGTTCAATTCTATCCAGCATGTCCATTTGTAACGGGAGTGTTTCAGGATACATATGCCACAATGTGTTCCTCCCACATATTTCTTTATATATATATATATATTTTTTTTTTTTTAATATTTATTTATTTGGCTGTGCTGGGTCTTAGTTGCAGCATGTGGGATCTTCGCTGCTGTGTGCAGTATCTTCGTTGCGGCATGCGGGATCTTTAGTAGCAGCATGCAGATTCTTTATTTGCGGCATGCTAACTCTTAGTTGCAGCATGCATGTGGGATCTAGTTCCCTAACCAGGGATCAAACCCAGGCCCCTTGCATTGGGAGCACAGAGTCTTAACCACTGGACCACCAGGGAATTTTCCCCACACATTTTTAAAAGACCATTCCACTTGCAGTGTGTGGAACAGCCTGGAGAGAGAAAAACATGCTGAAGCAGAAATCTATTAAAGAGACTACTGTAGAAAATAGACCAAAGAGGATAATAACTTGAAGAAGGGTCATGGTGGCAGAGATAGAAATAGATGGATCTGGTAGATATTTAGTAAGTAAAATCAAAAGGGTTTTAGATATCCAAGAAGATATATCCAGTGGGAAGTTTTTATAGGATTCAGGAGCTCTGAGGCTCTCCTATAGTTCATAGGCGATTCGGGAAGTCTTCTTTGAAAAAACTGGTAACCGAATTCACCGAGGTAGATTCTTGGGAGAAAGTGCACAATGGGAAGAAAGGAAGATCCGTAGGACCCAGCTTTGAGGAATATCAACATTGTAAGACCTTAGAGGAGGTGGAGCAAGCAACACAGACTGAATAAAGCTGGGCGAAAGACCCAAAAGAGAGTGTGACTTTCCTTGAGGCCGAGAAAAGAACATTTCCAAAGGGAGGGAGGAGTCAGCAAGTGATACAGAGGTCAAGAAAAACGACTGAAAACTAGGCGTTAGTTTTGGTGACACGTGGGAAATTAGTGATACTGGCGAGAGGGGCAATGAATGATAAAGGCAACGCCAGACGGATGTGAAGTAGAAGTATAAAATGGACACCACTCTTTTGAGAAGTTTGGCTATGAAGGTGAAGAGAAAGATAGGACATTAGCGGAGGAAGAGGGCTGGAGAAGGGTTATTTTAAGTCGAGGGGAACTTGAGAACGTTTAAATGCCGACAGGAAGGAGCCGGAATGGGAGAAGAAAAGGTGAAATAATAGGCCGGGTAGAGAGAAATCCATTGTACCTCTGGACGGATTCTCTTGTACTACGTATCCACCAAACTGAAGAGACAGCCATAATTCGGAGGACTGAGCAGCTTCCGGCTTTAGGTCAATGGTTTTTTTCTACACTAAAACCTTCCCTCCTCCGCCTCCTCAGTCTATTTCCCCACCCCCCGGCCTCCTGGCCAAGATCCCCGCCTCTCCTTGCAATGAAATATACAGCCTTCACTACGAATTCTTCCGGGTCGCCAGGCAGGACCACGCCCAGTCCTGCCCGCCCCACGAGTGGAGGGCGCTTCCTGAAAGACGCATGCGCAGAAAGGCTGCAGTCGTCCTAGAGGAGGTGGAGTCTTAAATCTTGCGCAGGCGCGTTAGGTCCTGGTCGCTATGAGGGTTCTTGTGGGTGAGGGAGGGCAGGAAGGGGGAGTGGGAGAAGGCCTGTTTATACAAAGAAAACATAGCCAGAAATTGAGGGCTAGGAGGCCGTTTCTGAGAGAGGGCACCGTCTCGTGCACAGGCAACCTGGTCTTGGCCTCAGAGCCCTAGAAGCCGAATCTCCCTAAACTCTGTGACCTGTGTCACCTCTGCATCGCGGGGAGGGGGCGAGGAGGGGAGAAGTCTGGCGTCAGCTGGGAGGGCACCGGAAGAGGGGGCCACGTGGGGACGGAAGGCGCCCCCGGGAAAATAAACACCTCTCATTTTCTGATCAGGTGGAGGAACGGGCTTCATTGGGACAGCCCTAACCCAGCTGCTGAAGGCCAGGGGCCACAAAGTGACGCTGGTCTCCCGAAAGCCAGGGGCCGGTCGGATCACGTGGGTATGTCCAAATTCTGGAAGCATGGGGTGTGGGGGGAGGCCTAGTTTGGTGGCGCAGGGCGAGGGCTCGCGGGCACTGTGTGCTTTCTCCAACAGGATGAGCTCGCCACGTCGGGGCTGCCCCGCTGCGATGCCGCCGTCAATCTGGCGGGAGAGAACATCCTCAACCCTCTCCGCAGGTCAGCCGGGCCCTGAAGCTGACATCCTTCAGAGCAGAGGGAGGAGAGGGCAGACTCTGAGGAGAACCTGTGAGCTGTGGAGAATGGGACTGCCGGACTGAGACCTCAGCCCGTATCCCGACTGCTCGTTCCCCCACCCCCACTCCTCCACAGCCACTTGCCCTTCCGCTCAGCTGGTGGACCTTGCTCCCCACTCAGGATGCCCAAAGTACATGTGCCTTTTCCTTCTACAGAAGAGATGGACCATTCCTCTAAGCTGCAATGCAGGGTTTTATTAGAAACGGATATGGATGGGCCCCAGGGAAAGAGAGGAAAGGAAGGGTATGTACATGTATTTAGTGGCATTTTATTTCCCCTGTTTTTCCTGCAGGTGGAATGAAGCCTTCCAAAAAGAGGTTCTCAGCAGCCGCCTGGAGACCACCCAAATGCTGGCTAGAGCCATTGCCAAGGCCCCACAATCCCCCCAGGTCTGGGTCTTAGTCACAGGTGTAGGTATGTCCCACACCACCAACCCTTAGACTAGCCAGGGAAAGGAGGGAGCACAGTGAGGGGCAGCTCAGGCCCCAGAGTGCTGGTCTTTTCCAAGCACGGGAGCTACCTAGGCCCTCATTCCATGCATATTTCTCCTGATTTTTGTGTACTTTGACTGAGAAATGGGGACCTCAGAGAAAGTGAAGGGAGTGGCACTGCTCCCAGTGCCAGGGAAAGTCTCACCTACTTCCAGGTCCCTTATTTCTTATAGCACAGTTCTTTAGGAACAGAATTCTTGATTCTTGTATTTTACCTTTGGGACCAAATAACAAATACACACACACACACACACACACACACTAGCCACTATTCTAAGTGATTTGCACATATTACATTTAATCCTTACAAGAAACCTATGCGGTAGGTACTATTATTCCCATTTTAAAGATGCAGAAATTCTGCACAGAGAGGTTATGTAATTTGCCCTTAGTCACAGAGTTAATAAATGGTGGAGCTGAGATTAAAACTCAGGCAGTCTGGCACCCGAGTCTTTATTCTTAGCTTCTCACTCTAGCACCTCACCTTAGCCCCATAACGAAAGATAAGAATGACTCCAGGGCCGGAACAGGTCAGCTCATGGAGAAGATCAAGGGGAAAATATCCATGGCTCTGAGTTCCCATGGGGAGATCCCAAGGGCCAAGGAGGGTGAGGCCAAGGGGAGCCTTGACTGCAAAGGGCCAGACAGGACCAAGGACACGCAGAGCAAGCAAGTGCTGTTCCACTGGCAGCTTACTACCAGCCCAGCCTGACTGCCGAGTACGATGAGGACAGCCCAGGAGGGGATTTTGACTTTTTCTCCAGCCTTGTAACCAAATGGGAAGCTGCAGCGAGGCTTCCTGGAGATTCTACACGCCAAGTGGTGGTGCGCTCTGGTGAGAACCAGGGCCCTGGGTATCAGACAGGGTTGGAATGCCTTCTCTGGGCTGGGAGGGTCGGGGGATAAGGGGAGCTGGGCTTATAGAGGCTGCCTCCACTTCTAGCTACCCTACGGGTGGGAGGGCGGGACATCCCAAAGAGAGCCACACCCCTTGCCTGCCCCAGAGCAAAGTCAACATGGGGAAAAGTTGAGGAAGGGGAAGCAGGAAGGAACAGTGGGACTTCCTGGAGGCTGAGGGGCCTTCCTGTACCGTCCTTCTTGCCCGCTCTAGGGGTTGTGCTGGGCCGTGGAGGCGGTGCCATTGGTCACATGCTGCTGCCCTTCCGCCTGGGCCTGGGGGGCCCCATGGGCTCAGGCCACCAGTTCTTCCCCTGGATTCATATCAGAGACCTGGCAGGAATCCTAGCCCACGCCCTTGAAGCAAGCCACGTGCAAGGGGTCCTGAACGGAGTGGCTCCAGCCTCCTCCACTACCAATGCTGAGTTTGCCTGGGCCTTGGGCGCAGCCCTGGGCCGCCCAGCCCTCATCCCTCTCCCCAGCACGGTGGTACAAGCTGTCTTTGGGCGAGAACGTGCCGTCATGCTGCTGGAGGGCCAGAAGGTAGTCCCAAGGCGGACACTGGCTGCTGGCTACCAGTATTCCTTCCCAGAGCTGGGGGCCGCCTTGAAGGAAGTCATAGCCTAGGTGGGGGAGGCTCAAGGAAGGGCCTGAGGCCTGTCCCTCAGCTGGGGCTTCCTAATGAGAAACTATGAGCTCAGGTTCTCCTCTGCTTAAAACCTGAAACCATCTGGTTCTTAGGGAGTCCTCTTTCTTTCTCATTGTCCCGTTGCCTCACCTTATTTAACTGAGAGACTGCGCTGTTTCAAGGTTGCAATCTCATCAAGTTGGGACCTTAACCTCTTCAACTGCTCCTAAATAAATTCCCAAGTTTGGTTTCCCTGCATGTCCTGTTCCTGGCCCATTTCTCCTTTTTGCTGTGTAGAGAATATTCTGCAGTTTGGGCAATAAAGATGTTATCTCACTAGCTTCAGCTTATCTCTGTGGCCTAGGTTCTGAAATTTATTTCAAGGAGTGCCATCCTAGAAGACCCTTTACTTTACATGGGGTTTTGAAAGTTACTGTTACGGTCCGGGACCCACACGCCTGGAGTCAAGTTCCCCGGTAAATGCGACCCGTGTCCCAACCAAGGACACCCGAGAATCACCAACACCAAGCAGAAAGATTAGCAAAGGATTTATACAAGTACAAGTATAGAAGCTTACACAAACTGTCCGGACAGGGTCCCACTCGGAGAGAAGTGAGTGAGACCCCGACTAACAGTCGGGCGAGGCTTTTATACCCTTCACAGGGCGGGAAGTCCCCAAGGCAGGAAGGAGCTGTTTAATTTTGAATCAGCCAGTCAGGAACCCGGTTCTTCCTGCCCCAAGCAAGTAAGCAAAGCAAGTTTCTTACAGAAGTCAAAATGTACTGTTAGCCCTGAAGCTGTTCTTTCGTTTCTTTCATCACATTATAATGTGCAAATCTCCCTTCTTGGTCCCTCCATTGCCAAAAGAGTTGGCAACAAATTTGAGGCACGAGGTTATGACAAAGGTAGAGGCAAAAAGAATGGTGATCCATTTCCAGTGGGCTCTGTGGTCACCCTGCTTACTTGTTTCACGCAGTGTCATTAGGATGCCAGCAGAGGAAGGGACAAGGTCCAAGTCCAGGACAGCCTTCAGTCTGTCACTGAACAGCCATAAATTGATAAAGCAATCATACACTGGCCCCAGTTCATCAGGCTGCAGCAGGACAAAGTTGTGCAAAGCTTAGGACTGCCAAAGATAAGGACTTGCCTCTCATCTGACTGGGGCCACTTCAGTCAACCAGGATCCCTAGCACAAAAGGGCAGAAGATACCTCCAGCCCACTGCATACTTACCAGCATTGAAAGTGAAAGGTACAAGGAACCTATCAAAAGTTACAAGCTCAATCCTTTCAGAGAAAAAGAGTCCCAAAAGGAGCCTCTCCCTTTTTCTCGACCCTGGTTTCTGCCACACTTTGACCAGAAGCAGTTCCCCTAGCCCCCAATTCAGGCCATATTAACCAATCTCCTTTCTTCTGAGGGGACTATGGGTTGTCTTTGAATCACTGTTACCACCCCGACTAGCCTCTCCAACTCGCCTGCTCCCAGCCCAGCTCAGTGCAGTGTAGTGGTGGACCTCACCAATGGGGAGGGGCAAAGACACTGGGACCGTAGGACCCTCTCCATCATCATTCAGCTCCACATGCTAGTTGCTGATACAAGGATCTGGGGTGATTTCAACTCCCTGTGCCACTCAGGGAACAGAAATCAGCCTAAAAAGAGGGCCATGTCCAGGGACTTGCTGCAGGGCCCAGACAGCACAGAATCCAGGAACACCTGTCTCACTTCTTTATCTGGTTTTGGACTCTTTAGGAAGTTAACTGACTCTGTACTGTTCCTGACAGAATGACTGGCCTCAAAGGTAGAAGTAACAAGCATACTTGGGGATGCACTAAAGGAAGGACTGACTAGTACTGTCCACGGACGGATGTGCTGCCTCGGAGGTAGTAAATCCCTGGTACAGGAGGACTTCGAGCAGATACAGGACAGTGACCTGTAGGAATCAAGGAGGAAAGAATGTCCTGAGGTGACAGCAGCTGGTCTTGTGGCCAGTCAAGTATCTTCTGACTCTGATTCTTCAATTTTCGTTTTCCAGATTGGTTCCTCTAGATACAAACTCTATAAACCCTCCCATCCGCATACACGCACACACAGAGCAGAAGTGGGTCTCGCTTTATGCAACATATATGCTCTGTAAAGAAGATGCTAGGGTCAGGTCACATGAACGTTTTCCTCGCAGAACATGGCTTCATTGGTTTGGTGACTGCTCAACGCTCGATCAAGTGCATTAACCGGGGACTGCGGACTTTCTGACACATTCGTTCAACTGTAAACAAACACCTGAATGCAACAGGAGAGCTGCCATTGATAGGAAGGAACCCTGAGAGTTTTCTGGTAATGCAAACAGTCACCCCTAATTAACCATTTTGTAAATGTGGATTTGGGGGGCAGGGGTTGCCCAAAAGGGACGCAGCCATTATAGGGCACATTATACTGAGGATGCAGTGTTAAAAAATCTAGGGCACAGGTCCTGGGGACAGAAGACCCTCAGCTCTCAGAAAGTGAGGTTTTGGTTAGGAAGCCTGTGCAACCACAGACAGACACACCTGAGGCTTGGTCCAAGTACCTTTCCTCCAAGGAGCTTTCCTCCACGTTCTCATCTCTCCTCCCAACAGGCTTTTTTACCCCTGACTTGTAGGCGGAAGTAAAGACCAAGATCAATCAAGGTCACAGGCAGGCATAGCTGAGACCAGAAGCCGAGTCTCCCTCTGCCTTCTCCACCAGATCCCCGCTGCCCCACTGTGACCCAGACCCCATAACACTAGCCTTTCCAGGGCCCAGCATTCCCTTTGATGCGCCCAGGAGCCCAGCCAGGCCCGGGACTCGTCCTGTCCTCTGGCCATCAGAGCAGCAGCCAGGAGGAGGAAAGGCTTAGCTTCCTGGCCACCTGTTCTACATTCCCCTCCCACCCACCCTAGCCTCCATCCCCAGCTCAGCGTGGAGGAGGGGCCGACAGTCCCCATCTCCGTGACCCACCCTTCCCAGCAGCCCCCATTCACTACAGAAACCCTGCATAAAGCAAGGTTAAGAAGTTAAGGCTGAGCAGAACCTCCTGAGAGCTGGTTGAGGTCCTGACTCAAGATGAGATCAGGTCACCTTACAGACCTGTCCCCAAAGTGCCCCAGGCAAGAGCATTCCCCACACACGAATGCGCTTCCTTGGTGCTTCCCGGACACAAAGCACCAACTCGGGGTGAGACTGGGTCAGGGTCTGAGCAGCAGAGGGACCCTCACAGAATGAGCTGAGCTGGATGAGGCTGGAGCTGACGGGGTGGCAGTCACTCAGACAGGTGAGGCTCAAAAGTTGAGACTGAGCAGGGCCTCAGAGAGCTGGTTGATGTCCCGGCAGTACGGCTCCCGCTGCAGGATGAAGTCCACCTTGTGATCCTGGCCCCAAAACACCTCCAGCAGTTGACGCCGGAGCCGCTCTGTCTCCCGCGTCTTCCGAATGCCACCACTGCCTTTTTCCTCTTCTTTTCTCCCCTGCTGCTGATTACTGTGTTCTGTGAAGCCCCTGGCAGAATGCTGCGCCTTAGAAGACCCCTGTGCCCTGGGAAGAAGCAGAGGGAACAGGAAGAACTGATGAGCATCCTCGAGGGACGAGAGAGCCCAGTGGGCCTCCCTGCTCTCCACTCCCAGTCAACTGCCCTGCCTAGTCTGGGCTCTGGGGAGTGACCCTGAAGTTCCAGAAACTGACCACTGAGGGGCAGTATCAATCCACTTCTGAAGGGAAGATGGCCTGTTCCTTTGGAACCTGGAAGGTGAACCTGGCATTATCTAGTTCTAATCTAATAAATTAATCACTTTATGTCCTACAGAAGGCATGCTCAATGCAGCTGGCTATAAGTGAAAGCAAGCACCTTCCAAATAACTCCATCCAACACACTGATTAGGGAAAACAGGAAACAGGAGTTTCCCTTCCAGCCAGGAGGGTCTGAGTCAGGATTCCTTGGGCCAAGCCCAAGGCAACTTGAACTACTACAGAATAAAGCTGGCCCAGATTGAGGTCATTCTTCCCCCAATTCTCCAGGCCTCCAAGGATCCTGCAGAGCAAAAGCCAGGGCTGCCCAGGAGAGTCTGAGGCATTACCTGACCGGCTTCTTCAGGAACTCATCCAGTGTAGGGCCATTTCGCCCCAATGGATCATCAGGCACCATGAAGAGGTTTCCCACGAAGGTGAAGGGCAGCAGGCTGGATGGGCACAAAGAACGTGTGGTCACAGAGGGGCCTTTGCCCACCTCCCGGACAGTTAAGACCAACACCATCAGAAGCTGCCAGCTACCATCCTTCGCAAAGCAATGTCAGCCCCTTCCCAGAGTCCTCACCCGGTGGCAGAGCAGAGCTGGTTTTAGAGAAAGGTCTGAGTCCGTGCCCTGTGCTCAGGGGAGGGCTCCCTCACCGCTCTCTAATGATTGCCATCCACTTCTCAGACTCCTCTGCCAGGTCCCGGAACTGGTCATTGGAGACAATGATCCCATCGGTCTCTTCAGCCAGCTTCACCATGAACCTGTCACGAAAACCACGGCAGCCATATTGGGATTCTCCAAGGTCCCAACCTCAAAGAGCGTTATCAACTCCCGTGACCCACTTCCGGTGATGGAGTTCTGGCCCCCTCACCTTGACCCAGCCGCCAGGTGACTGACTGCATACAGGTGCCACGGGTTAGAAAGGAAACCCATGAAAGATGAATCCATCGTGGTTCCCCAATAGCATCCCCTCAAGTCACCACAATCCTCCACTCAACACTTTGTGCCTCATTAGTATGAGACAGAAAGATCTGGCTCTGGCTCTGTCTTCTTCCACCGTGCCCCCATGAATCATTTACAGATCCATCATGCTCCTCTTCTGAAAGGCTTTCCACTCTGCTTCCTTGTTTTCCAGTTCCACCATTATCATCTGAGCTACTTGGACATTGCAAGCATGGTACTATTGCATAGCCTCCTGATGAGGGGGTCCCCTGCCCCCAGCCACTTACCACCCTCCAGCCTCTCCTGACCTCCCCCAAGAGAACATGCTCTTCCTACACAAGTCTTCCAAACTTGCCCTTTATCTACCGAATATTTCCACATGCCCAGGCCTGGCAGCCAAGGCCATCTAGAACCCAGCTCCAAGCCACTCTTATGGCCTTATCTCGCCCCATACTCCCTGCTGTACTCAGCTCCTGCCAAAATCAATGAGCAGATTACACCCTGTTCTTCAAACATGCCCCGTGCTGTCCGACTTCCATGTTTCTCAAACGATTCCCTCCATCTGGAAGGTGCTTCCCCAACCTCACTGATGAACGGAACCACCAGGGGAACTTTAAAAAAAATAGATGCCTGGGCCCCACTT